CACCTGAAGAATTGATCGATCCAACGGTGGATGAGAAGAGTGTAATGACGTATTTGGCTCAGTTCCCTCAGGCTCGTTATAAGCCCGCACCGGGTCGAATTGTTGATTTGGATGCAAATCCAATCATAAACGCCACCTCGTCATTCACCATTCATACACTCAATGCTGTCCTCGAGCCAAGAGTGACCATCAAAGGACCAAACGAAACACCGGTTCATACCGAACTACGCAAACAAACATCAACCATCTACGAGGTTATCTACAAGCCTCACACCAAAGGCGAACATGAGGTATGCGCATGACTTTCTTCGAATCGAACATGATAGCGTTAATTATCAATATTTCTTACTAGGTACTGGTCTCTATTCGTGATTCTAATTCGGGTGAAATATCAAACCTGAATGTTGAGCGAGTGAATGCGATCGAAAGTGCTCAACTTGACTATGAGAGTAACGCTCGCGTTGGTAAAAAGTCTAATTTCCATATTACAAATGCCGCCGAAGGAATCATCGAAGTGAGTTGGCGATTATCTTCGTTCCTTTCCGAAGCAAACAACAGATGTGTTTTGAGCTGTGGTTGTGTCTGATTAGGCGTCAGCATATCAGAGAGAATTTTCATTTACAGCTGGTTATTGTTGATCCGAAAGGGAATGAAATGGCGTTGCCGTTGACCCGCGAAGGCTCGGACTACTTGAGTGATTTCACGCCAGTGATTCCGGGAGTACATTCAGTGAATGTATTCCAAAAGAAGAGACATATCAATGGTAGTCCATTCCCACTCAATGTCACTGCGCCATCGAAATTCCGAGTTTGGGGACGTGGTATCGCATCAGAAGGCGTTCGAGTTGGAGACGAAGTCATTTTGTTCGTCGATTTAGATCCTGAAGCCAGCGATCGTGTCAGCATTAATTTGCGTGATCCGAGTGAGTCTATCGATTTGAAACCATGCTCAGAACTGATCATTCGCACCCGGTTCCATTCAGACGATACCCCAAAAAAATGCTTTCAGCTGGTCGTTTATTACCGGTCGATGAGAGGTTCGATCAGACAAAACGTCGTCAAGT